ATTTTCTTCCTAACAGCTAATCTAAATCTACTCTCTTTCAGTTTGAAGCTATTATCCCTTGTCCTGTCACTAGATGTCCTTGTAAAAATCCCTCTCCAGCTCTCTTGTAGGCTCTTCAGGTACTAGAAGGCTGCAATTGGGTCACTGCAAAGTCTTTTCTTTTCTAGGCTGAATAACCTCTATTCTCTCAGTCATTCCTCATAGGAGAGGTGTTCCATCCCTCTGATCAACCTGGCATCCCTCCTCTGAACTCACTCCAGCAGGTCCATCACCTTTCTGTGCTGGGCCCCCGGAGCTGGATGCAGGGTTCCAGGTGGGGTCTCAGCAGAGCAGAGCAGAGGGGCAGAATCCCCTCCCTCCCCTGCTGCCCACGCTGCTCTGGATGCAGCCCAGGACACGTTTGGCTCTCTGGGCTGGGAGTGCCCATGGCTGGGTCATGTCCAGCCTCTCACCCAGCAGCACCCCCACGGCCTTCTCACAGGGCTGCTCTCCATCTGCTCAGCCCCAGCCTGTGCTGATGATGCTGGGGGTTGTCCTGACCCAGGTGCAGCACCTTGAAATTGGTCTTGTTAAACCTCATGAGATTCCCATGGGCCCCTTCTCGAGCTTCTGGTTGGCATCCTGCTCTTCAGGAATGTCAGCTGCACCACTTGATGTGTTTGTACTCAACCTCTTTGTGTCATTAATGAAGGTATTAAATAACACTGATCCCAGCACAGACCCTTGAGGGACATCACCTGTCATTGATGTCCATTGGGACTCTCAGGTCTTAGCCACTACTCCCTGGATATGACGGACACTTTCTTAAGTGTCTAACAGTCCACCCATCAAATCCATCTCCAGTTTAGAGAAGGATGCTGTGGGGAACCATGTCAAAGGTTTTATAGAAGTCCTGATAAATGTTGTCTATAGCCCTTCCTTTGTCCACTGATGGAGTCAATGGAGTCCTTCCACCATGGAATGCCACTAGGTGTTCAAGACAGAACCTGAAGTTTAAATTAATTTTCCTCGAGATCTTTGGGTTCAAATGTCATATTTTCCCTACATTAGTTGAAAGCTGAAATCCTTATGTACTCCTATGTCCATGGAAGCATGCCTTTTAGAAAAGTATAGAGCACGAAGTGTGTCAGAACTCGTGGCAGCACACCCTTTACGTGCTGGCTTCCACAATGCTGGAGCACATCTTGGCTGATGGATACTTAATTGGACTGAGCCCCACTGAGAGTTACTCAGCCCATGAGATGAGTACCAGCAGCACTCGTCAGGGTGACATGTGGGAAGGCACGATTTGCAAGTGGTCCTGCCTGCAGTCAGCCTCTAGACGTAACCATCAAGACCATCCACCATCAGGTCCTTCCTGAGGTGCAGGAATCCCACTGGGGAGGGAGTGGAAATGCAATGATGATGACCCAGGGAACAAGGTTCACAGGTGTTCAGCAGAAAGGGTTCACCTGCAACCCTGATCTCTTACTGCGAAAGGTGAAAGGGAATCATGGACTATCCTTTGATACTTTGATACTTCTTACTCCAACTTTTGCATGTTGGATTCTGCACATCAAGGAAAACCTTGCTGCTGTTTGGATTGGACTTTCCAGATCAATATCAAAAATCTGTAAGGCTTTTTCCAGAAGATTATGTTGGCTACACAGTCAAGAAATACCTTTAGTCATGGCTTTTTTGCCGTAGTTGTCGGATGATAATTAGATGGACCTTGTGAGCCTTTCAGGACCTGAAGATGACTTTCCAATCCAGGAACATGCCTCTGTCTCTGGGGTATGACTTGTGTCTATCAATATTGTAGACATGTGCTAAGAAAATACTCCCTGTGGCTTTTGAATTAAATTTTGCCTATATTTAAAAGGAATGTAATGCTTTTCTCCTGACTTTAACTATTTCATAATCACACTGTCTTTATGACTTTTTGTGTCTCAGCCTATTTTCATTGTTGTCAAAGTGCTCACATTTATGTGCCCAAGGAGAAAACTAGGCAGGCAAAAACCAAATGCCACGTTTTTGGTTACAACTATTTAGCTCCTGGAGTTAAAGCTCAACTGCCTGTTTTGGATTGTGGTTACAAAATTCAGAAAGGACTGAATTCTCTGGTGCTTGAGATCCTCAGTGTGTATGTACCCAAAACAGGCTTTCCTGAAGTGCTGGGCCTCAAATCTATGATGCCATTTTAACTAGTGGTCCACAATACACTGAAATAAAACATTACTCTGGCAGAAAAAAAACATGGAATACTAAAACTTCTGGGCTCACAAACCAGACTAGCATACTGTCCTGAAGACTGCTCAAAGGAAAATACCATTTCAGCTTGAACTTTGAAGTTTACAGAAGGAATGGGTGAGTTTAGGTACTTGAAGGTAATGTTGTGAGGTTTTTTAAATACATATCCAATTTAAGTATCTGTTATTTTATGCATTTTTAACTTCATAGGAGGATTGGGTTATATGAACACCAGAAAGGTATTAACACTTTTTCCATCAGTGTTAATCCTATTACACAGTAAGATGGCCTACCTGCTATATTGGACTTGCCAGGAGTGCAGAGCAAATTCTAAGTGCCTTTCTAAGTAATCCTCTCTGTGCTGATAATGTGATTGATATGTTCTGGGCTGTTTTGTTTATGAGACACATATAGTATCAGAAATACAAAAGACTGTCAGAGGGAGTGGTAAAATTACCCTGGAATTACAGTCCTTCAAAATTCTAATAGTAAATGTGACTGCTCATTGCTTCGGAAATGGTTTGGGCGTGATAAAGCTTTATGTGAATATTTTAAGTGCACATAAAAGAATCTAAATGAGGGGGAAAGGGTGCAGCTCCCTCATTTTTTGGCTTGGAGTGTCCAGGACATGATAGGGCATGTCCTGCTCCTTTTTGTACTGATAGATGTGAACTTGAAACTTAAATCTTCAAAATGGAGGAGAGGGTGGGGTGAGGGGAGGAGGAATGCTTCCAGAGATAAGCACAAGACATGTTTCCAGTGCAACAATTAAACCTGTTGCATGTGATAAGTTTAATGTAACCCCAGAAGTTATCACAGTCCATGTGCCAGCCACTGATCTCCAAGAGGCCAATAATTGAATGAGTTGTCACATCCCTCCTTGGCCAGGAGAGCTGATGGTGTCCCCGTTAGAGGGAGCTTGCAGGGAGTCATGGTGAAGCAGACCCAGGCAGCCGCCACTGCTTCTCCCCCCTTACCTTCCCACTTCTCCCTTTGCATGGCTCAGCATTGTCTCCAGGTATGGCCAGCAGTGCCAAGCTCTGCTGCAGTTGCCAAACACAGGCACAGGGATGAGCTTGGGGGCTAGAAGAGAGAAACAAGTAAAAGCTGAATCCATCTGTGATACACGGGATGTTGGCTGGTTCCTGGAAGGCAGGGACAAAGCCTATCTGCTTTGTAGCTGAGGGGTGTCTGCATTTGCAGCTGCAGTGCTCTCCAGGCAAAGGACTTTCTTGTTCCTAGAGGGCTGAATAGCATTGAGTAGCAGGGATTCTTCTTTTCTGCCTACTGCCCAACAGACTTTTAGGTGCTGACACTGCATTTCATCAGCAGGGCAGTTATCACCTGGAGATGCAACATCACAGCCACTCCATATGAGCTCCACCTTAAATCACTCTGAAAGCTGAAGCTGGGGCAGGATATGGCAGCTCCGTGCTAAGCTGGGTATTTTCCGCATGCACACGACAGCATAGCATGCTTCTGGTTTCAGGGTGGAGTTCCAAAGGTGGCATCTGATCAGTAATGCCTTTGCAGCCTGTCGTTTCTGATCTACTAAATAAGTACTAAATAGAGTTTTTTTGGTTTAGTAGGGGTAAATCACTCAAGGTTTGTGTCTGCCGATGACCCGCAGCTTTGCACCTCTCACACTTCTTGCAGCTGAAGCAGCAGAGCTCAAATCTGTGACCCCAAAAACAGAATTCAAAATTTTTGTTCTCCCGAGATGTTGGTTTGCTAGGGAGTAAAGCAAGTCAGGGAGGCTCGTCCGGATGGCAGGCACAATGTTCCTGCCTCATTCTTTTCCCTGAAAGGTTTTGCACTGTCATAGCATATACACTTGATTGATTTGGTAGCAGAAAGGACTCCATTTAAAATATGGGCCTGAACACTCCAGAAAGGCATCTCTTTCCACCTCTTCTACGCAAGACAATAAGTAAATGATCCAAACAAATCCAAGTCCTGCCATTCCACGCAGTGGAAGAAGCAGAGATCAAAAACTGACTCTGCACTAAAATTACTTTTTTTTTTCCTGAGAACAAGTGTGGAAAAGACTTCTCTGATGCTATTTAATGGGTTTGAAATCCATTGTACCCATGCAGTGACTGAGACAATTGTTTCATTTTATTCATCTGTGAACACTTTTCCAAAAATGTGCTTCTTTTCTCAGCTGCAAAACTGATAGGACAATACTGTGTCTAAGGTGACATAACCAAGAATGTTCTCACAGACAAGTGCTTATTTTTGTTGTTTAATTTGCCATGAAGTCATTCTAGATACATTCTAGATGTATTTGTCTTCTTAAAATAGGTGAAATCCACAGCCTTGATCTACTAGCAGAGATTCCAAGCTATTCAGGTAGATCAAACAGTGCTCACAGCTAGTTAAGGAAATAAAGGTGATTGAAGTGAGAAGCTGATAGAAAAAGCCCAGCTGAACTGACACCTTCAGGAGGAAGGTGATGCTGGGTGTTTTCAGGAACTTCTCTAAAGGATTCTTTGAAATACTGATAGAGAGGGTACTATTTCCTGCTCCGTAAGCATCAATATGAACACAGTAATGACTTCCAGAAAAGACCAAATACTTCCTCTTTTAACTTTTATTGTGGTGTAAAAACAATTCCAGACACATTTCCTGTAAAGTAAAAATAAAAATTTTCATATATATTGTTTGGAAAAGGTATTTATTGGTTCAGATCTAATAACTTAACAGTGTCCCTTAGTTATATGAGCTATTCATGGATTTGTCAGTTAAATGCTCTTTTTCTATAAAAACAGGTAAGGTTTGAGGGAAGCATGCAGAGAAACGATGTCCAGGCTTCTCACCTAATGCTTCATCATAGCAAAGCAGACTTCAAAATGCATGGAGTTATGGGGTCATCCTGAGAAAGGTAAGTAAGTTTTAGTTCTGAAACAGTGAATTGCAAGTGTCCTGGGAGTTTAAGCATGTTACTTTCCATTACCAGAAAGCTTTGCAGCGGTGCGTTTTTTGTTTTTCGCTGTGTGTGGGAGCTCCACACCTGCAGTAATCTGAAAGGAAGCATCATCTCCTCCCTACTGTAGCAAACAGATGCATCAGGCAATGTGGTGCCCGAGGGATTAGCGTCCTGCTATTCATTTGGGCCTTTTTGGAGTGACAGGTAGACTCTGTGCTTTGGCTCTAGAGGTTTGGCAGACATACTCTAGGTATTACTCACCATACAGCATTGTCAGGATGTCAGATTAAAGCACACCCAACCTGCAGATAAAGCCATGTTTCTTTGCTGCCTGTAACTCCTTCCAGTAGCTCACTTTTTGTCCCAAGATAATAAAAGCATTAATGCTGCTTTTTTTTCTAATAAGTAAAACTATGTTTACAGGGCACTGTCAGTCCCTTTCCTTCACAAAATCTGTTTTATTGTCTGATCAACAATGTGTTATATTTCTAATGCTAGGAGTTTACAAAAGATGGATTTCCCTGCTAGTTTTCGCATATGACAAACCCCTTTTGCTGGTGCCAGTACTAAATGATGAGTGGGTGTAGTTTATTACAATAATAGGGTGTTCAGATGGCAGGCACAAAACCAGTGTGTTGATCCCTAGGCTGGGCCAGCACCAAAGGATCAAACTGACAAAAAGCAAAGTTTCTGTCTGCACATGACAGTGTTTTAGGAAGGGAAATCTTCTGGCAAAAGTTATTTTGGAGTTTTTTATATCATTATTGTTGAAGCTAAATAGATGAAATCATGGACTTCGCAGGTGAACTGTTAAATGACTGGAAAACTGGGTGGGCTGTCAGGTTCAAGGACAGAGGTCCATCAGTAAGAGTAGCTGGCAGACAGCTACATATGCCATTTCTCAAGGGTTAATTCCAGGCAAATATTTTTAACATCTTTTGCAACAACACAGAAGAGGGGATGTAGGGTGCTGGGGTTGTTCCACACTGGGGGAGCAGCTGGAGGGGAGCACAGCTCTTCAGAGGGGCCTCAACAGGCTGCAGAAATGGAGTGCCATGAACCTCCTGGAGCACAGTCTGAGCAAAGTATGTGTTCTGCCCATGGCTGTGAGAAGCCCAGCAGTGAATGGACAGGAGGGCTGCAATCCTGGTGAACAGCAAGGCATGTCAGCTGTCAACTTGGTGGCTGGTCAGGGCCTGGGGGGGTCCTTGAAAGCCAGTGGAGGGAAGTGCCTCTGCACTGCATAATGGCACTAGATTAGATTCAATCCAAGAGAATTTTAGAGAAAACAGAGATGAAATCATCACACAAGCACAGTGCAGACCAGAGAGATGGTGGGATCTCCATCGCTGGAGATAACCCGATCTAGCTTTGTGGTCAGCCATGCTTGGAGCAGATTATTAGAACAGTGACCTCTGAAGATGCCTTCCAATCTGAATTTTTCTGACCTCCTTTAATTGCATTTCATAGGACTCTTGTAGCAGGCCTAAAGTTGAAGTGGAGAATTTGTTTTGACGGAACACAGTTTCTTGTGCCATGCCCAGGAGGTCTGTGCTGAGATCAGGTGGTGACTTACAAACAAGAGACTGTATGCCCTTGACAAGAGGATGGCAACCAGGGCCCAGAACACACTTCTGTCCTGCCTCTTTCCGATACTTCATGAAATCCAAAACAAGGAAAAATGATGCTGAAAGAAAACAGAGTGCTGAGGCAAGACTGTCCCCCTGTAGCAACACCTGTATCCTGGAGAGTATATACAAGACCTGCCCAAAAACCAATTTCCCAAAAGGTACCCCAATAGGGGCTGCAGGAGACTCAATGAAAAACTTGGTATCTGGTGTCCTTCATCCACTGTGCCATCCCAAGTGATCCTGACCAGATTGCTCTGTGCCTGTGAACACGTGTGAGAGTGGGTAAGGGAAAATCTGTGATGCATAAGAGTGAGATAACCAACCTGCTTAAAATTAAAGTGGCTTTCCTGGTCCATAAAAGCTGAGACAGAAAAATTGGCTGCAGACGTGCTGAGAAGACCCACTCCCAAGAAATCACAAATGACCAATAAAGGTGAACTATGGATTCCTGCATGTGTGTACAAACATTTTGATAATAGAGATCAACAGGGGGTCAGTGATGTAACACTTGATTTATAGCACTTCTCTAACCTGACATGAAACAAACCTGAAAGACATATTGAAAGTAGATCTGACCTTCCTTACTACCAGAAAAACATGGAAAATTGCCTATTTCAATCATTCTTCTATGTAGCTACACAGCGTTGCGGAAAATGCTATATCAGAGCAACATCTGAAAGGAATGAATGGGAAGCACACATGCCAGTTTAACAGACTCTGCTGCAGACTGAGTAATCCTGTTGCGCTGCTGATGTATATTTAGCTCTTCAATTAAGAGCAAGTCCTACACTTGGTACTCACATGAGCGAGCCGCAGGGTCACGTAAATAATCCCCAGGATTACTCAGAAATTATTTTTTAAGGCATGATTAACACATTTCTGGGAGCTGCAGGCTGTGCACATAGAATCATGGAAACATTCAGGTGGGGAGGCACATCTGAAAGTCTTTGTTCCCATCCCCCTTTCCAAGCTCAACTGCCTTCAAAACAAGGTCAGTTTGGTCAGCACCTTGACCAGCTAAATTTTGAACATATCCAGCATGGGACACCCCACCACCCCTTTTGGCCCTGTCCCAGGGCTGTACTACTGTTGTTTTACTCCTTATGTACAAACAGAATTTCCCATGCTGCAATGTGTCCCTTTTGTCCCTTATGACAAGGGTCAAAACAAGACTTTTTAAAACAAGACATCCCTGTGAACTTCTGAGAGAAGGTTGGTAACTGTAAGTCAGTGGATATCTGCAATTAGGGCTTTCCTGGGGCATCCCTTCTCCATGCTAACAGCCTGATTCCTTCCATCTCCCCTCTCTCTGTCAGGTGCACCAGACCCACCCACCATCTCCGTGGCCTTGCACTGATCTCTCTTCAGTCTGCCAACAAATGATGTCTGCTTCCACCCCGATGTGTGCACAGGAATTGTGGCCACCCTGAGAACACAAAGATTTTTCTGAAGATACTCTAGTACTTCTATGGCTCTATGTACCAGTCTGTTCATACAGACTAGAACTGGTCTCTGCAGTGATGGCTCATGTCCTCTGCCATGTTAAAGAGGGAACAGCAGGAGCCCACATGGCAAAGAAGTGCTGTTTGCCATGCAAGGCATTAAGCAGCAGGAGTGTGGGCAGAAGAGGACCTTGTGGTCAACTGGTGATGGACACCTGGACTCTGTACAGGTTAGACAATGATACTTAGAGGCAGGATTTCATCCTGGCACTTAGGCAGCACCTTCATCTGACCCCCTCCCATAGTGATCCCCCTCCCAATACTGAACAAATATTTAAATAAAGCATGCTACCTCTCTGTTATGTGTCCACTCTCTCCTTTATAAGTTTGGCTTCCTCTCTCTTACTCCCACCTCCCCCAGCCTTTATTATCTTTTTACTGACAAAATCCTCTTGCATTCATTCCTTCAATAGGCATTGACCATGGAAGTCATGATGCTGTGGCTCCAAGTATTGATCAGCTGCACAGAAACCTGTCTGGCTTAGGTACATGACTATCTGCTTGCAGTATTGCAGTTTGCTTTCCAGTATAGGTACAAGCTCCAGATGTTAACTGTTGAGCAATGCTGCAAAATCTGTTTTGTAATGCTAGAAAATCTGTAGGCCAGATCTTTCCCAAGGAGTACTCCAGCCAGCCAATAGCACAGTAATCATATCAGGTATGAATTCTAGTTATCATTTGAGCAGAGGTATACACGGGCTCTCTCTGCGATGCTCTGAAATATGTCAGTACAACTTAATATCTGAGGAATGAAATACAGTGGATTGCTGAGAGAGACAAACATTTGCTATCAGTTTTTGAAATGACACTGAAACTGTTAACACGCAGCGCACTCACTGCTCACAAGTTCACTAGCTGGGGTGTGGGTGGTTTTAGCCCATTTAGCCCAGGCACTGATTTCAGTTCTCGCATTCAATATTCTAAATATTCTCATCACACTGCAGTCATGTCCTCCACCCAGCACACTGCAAAGTTACTTATTCCTGCTGAACGCAGCATCTTTCAGCCTGTTATGCTCAGGGGATGGTGACCAGACCTCTGTGGAACACCACGGGCTTGTGCTCCTTCCTGTGGAGCCCTGACAGGACCAGTCCAGGCTGCAACAGAAATGGTTTGCCCTTCATGGCCACCTTTGCAACTTCCAGCTTAGCCCCATGGTCTCTCAGAGACAGGCAGCTCAAGTTCAAGGCCTAAGATGCCTGCTTCCCCAGGCAGGGCAGCCCACAGTCTGCCCTTGGGTTAAAAAGTAGTTTTTTGCAGATGTCAGCTGTACTTCAGGTGAGAGAACAAGCCTGAAGCAAGGTGTAGGAGTAAGGTCAAGAATAAAAAATAACATAAAAAGACACATAAAAGATACACATATACAAGCGTTTCTGATAGCTCTGTGTGGTGCTTAGGAGCATGCAGGTGTTGCTGGTTAACCTGGAGTTTACAGGGATTATACAGAAATGAGTGTCAGAAACCCAGGGCTAGCCTGGCTGAACCCCGAGGAATGCTCCAGCATTTGTTCCTCGGCTGTACTTGTTTAGGCAAACCAGACAAAAAGTACCTGATTTAGTCTGAAGAGGGAAGCTGGAGTACAAGGTAAACATGTATGGGCAGCACTCCTGAGCAGCTTGACTTTCAAGTTTTCTGAGAGCAGTCATGCCCACAGAGTCAGTAATGAGAAGGAATTTGTTTGCTGAAAGATCTCTGAGGCTCTGTAACTCTTTTCCAGGTGGGGGCATTCAGACTATTGATGAATGAAGCATTTTCTGTCTGGGACAGTAAATATTTAACTGGAAAGTTTAGAAATATCCATGTTTCTGAGTTTTCAAGACCTTCTCAAAGAAAGTTTCTTTCCTGCAGTCACAAAATGAAAAAAAAATAACCACCACCGAAAAGAGGACAGAGCCTAGGAAACAGAGAAGGCAGAAGAGCAGTGTCCCTCTGTAATGCATTGTAGTCCGGCACCACCTTCTCTGCAGCATGTGCAAGAAACCTGCAGCAACTGCCTCTTACATCCACAACACGCTGCAGAGCATGTCTGCCTCCCTATTCAATTGTATTCAAGCACCCCCCAAATCCCGTTTTTCACATTAGATCTACTCACTGAATATTCGGTGCTTTTCTTTCCTTGGACAATCAAGCAACACAAAATGTGGCCTGCATAAAAAAGTGATGAGAAAGGCAAGATTTTCACATTAAAATGTCTTCCTCATGTTTTCCCACTGATTTGTCTGGACATGAGACTGGCATCAGCAACTACCTGGAATTTTTTGGCGTACAGTCTTTAGCAGCCTTGTACCTAGGTTGCTAGGATGCATCAGGATAGTTTGTTACAGCATGTTATCATGGAGAACCATAGCCTTTGGAGGCCTGGTCCATGTGGCAGTGGGGGTTTCCAGATATTTCAGCAGAAACTAGTTGCCCTCAAGCACCAAAACCAGCTAAATCGTCCTATTCACTAACTAGGGTATGCTTTGTGGCTCGTCCTGGAGAAGCAGCTGTAGATAAACAGTCTTAACAGTCCTTCTGTGGTCCAGGAAAGGCCATGTCTCACACTGTATCTTACTGTGTCACAGACAAAAGTCGTGTGTGATTAAGGCCACAGCACAGTTTGAAGTCAAGCACAGTGGAAAAGAGAAGTCCCTGAGGTCTGAGTGCTTCCCCCACTCCAGTCGACTCAAGGGCCTTCACCTCTCCAGCAGGATGCACCCGGTGTCGCCAGTGAAATGCCTGCCTAGCCAGCTATGACAAGGAGGCTTGAATCCACACTTAACCACTCAATAGCTCACGCAAGTGGAGACTGGAAAGAGGATCTGCTGGAGACAGAGTGTTCTCAGGATGGTAATGCAGCCTGCTGCCCTGAGAGCCATGTGTCTCTTCAGAGCTAAGCACCAGCAAGAGGAGCTGAGAAGGACAGAAATAAAAGACCAAGGAGATCTACACGGAGTTTAAGTGAGCTTTTTCAGGGGATTACCACTTCTGTGCAGCACATTTCCATTGATCTTGATGGTGGGATGTTGGCTGGGTGTCTGGGCTGCTTCACCAGGGCGGTTCACTTTCTTGTTGAAAGTGGTCAGAAGCAATCCTTTTGCACTTAAGTGACCAACAACAGGAGAGGCATTTAGGAGATAACTGCACGAGGGAGATGTGGCAAAAAAGGAGAGAAAATACTTTGATGTCTGAGAGGGTATGCACAGCTAAATAAACAGTAAGGGACAGAAGAGAAGGGTGCTCGGCTTGTTCAGCCTGGGGGGGAGAAGGTCAAGAGGGTACCAGGCTGCTGTCATCCAGTCCACTGTCCCACAAGGTTACGTGGGAGAGAGAGACACATGCTATTGTTAAAGTCCATAGAGAAAAGACAAGAGATGATAGGCACAGATTGCCACAGGGAAAATTCTCGTTGGACACATGGAAAAAACCTCTTTTTATTAGAGTAGTGCAGGTCTGGGATAGGCACCAGAGAAGAGGTGAGATCTTTGTCCTTGGAGATTCTCCAGACAGACGGGGCAACATGACCTAGCTTTTGTGAGCACTGCTTTGATCAAGAAGTTGGGCTTAAGACCACCAGATGTAAACCTTTCTGCAATTCTTCAAGGAACTCCACAGCAATCCTTCTGAGGCATCTCTCCATCCCATGAGCAGCAACTATATGTGGCACAGGATCCTGTAGGAGGACGGAGGCTGGGCCTTGGGGAGGTGTAGGGATGCAGGTATGCACATGCCTCCTGCTGAGAAGGGAAGTGCCACATACCACTCCTTTGCTGTCCTTCCTGTCGTCCCTCTGATGACTGTTATGAAGGCCTCAGAAAGCAAAACTAAACCTTTCACCACGGCCTCATGGCCGTATGTTAAAAAACTATGTCATGCATGCTAGTGGTGTTTGATTTCTATATAGCAAAGGCTGTCATGTTTGGAGGAACAGCCATGATGCAGCAGCCAAAACAGCCTTCAATCTCAGCTGCTGGTGATTTCTCCATGCCCTGCACAGGTGAGAAGGGGCACGAAGAGCACAGAGAAACAAGGGCTCTGCAGAGCAGGAGAAGCAGCAGTGAAGTTGCTGAGCGTGGCTCAGCTGGAAGTTTCCATTGACTTGGAAATGATCCGCTGAGTTTGCAGTGGGATGCTGCACTACGGGCTGCATATGGAATGAAAATCAGCAAACCTAGGTAGGTTTTCTCTGCTGCAGAGAGCACAGGTAAAAGCTGTTGTCGAAGCTAACTGGCTGAATATGAAACCTTGTGCTAGGTGCGTGCTTCTGCTCCTTTACTATTTAATAAGGCCTTGAGCCCACAGACTGCTGCAGAGCAGAGATGGCCTTCTCCTGGGCTTACGTGGTGTGAGAGGCACTAGCAGAGGGGCCCGGCTTTCCTTACCTCCTCAGGAAGGAACTGGGTGCAATCCTTTTTCCTGGAAGAGAAACCCAGATGGGAAAAAGTTAAGGCTTTAGCCAGCGATGGCATTGCTGTACACCTCTGGAAGGATGGAGGTAAACAGACAAGTGAGAGATCAAGAATGGCTGGGATGATCAAGGTAGGCTCTGGAGGCTTACAGACATTGTCTGGAGGTAACAAGGGCTGTCACTGGCAGCATATTTCTCAATTTTGTCTTTCATGCTTGTGAGTCACCAGCAAGCTGGAGGAACAGCTCAGGCAAGGATCCCCCCACGCAGAGTTGTGTGTGAGCTGTCCCTGTGAAACTGCAGAGCACAGCACCATTGGGATGTCATCTGGCAGTACCTAGTTGCAGCTAGCTCAGTCCACTGGGAAGTGGCTCTCCATAAGTGTGGAAGGCTGAATTCCAGCTTCACTGGAAGATCTCTTTTAATTAGTCTTTAAATATTTGTTTTCCAACTGTAAATGGCTTTTAAAAAATTCTGCACAAAACTTCTCAACTACTCTTTATGAAAAAACCCACACCCCAAGTTTATCACCTTTTAACAAAGGATTTGCCATTTCTGAAAGGAACTCCCCTCTCAACAAACTGACGGATTGCTCCCCCTCTGCCTGAGCCTTTCCTAGACCTCTCTAAATGTCTGTTCCACACCTTTTCCTTGGGAGGGAAGCCAGGCAATGTTGCAGGATGTTAAGTTGAAACATGTTCTAATCTCAGCCCCATGAGACAGAAACTGGAGGGAAGGAGTTTGAGGACGATTTTGTGGTTTCCTGGGGGCAACATAGGTGATACAACACTGGAAGAGCACGGGCATCTGAAGACCTTGCCAGGGGGGC